CACCTCATGGGCCAGCACAGCCAACCGCTCCGCTGTTGTGGGGAAGGTCTGAGCTAGAGCCCAGCTCTCAGGTACAAGGCTCCATCCCACACAAGAGCCCGTCAGCAGTGCGGAAAATGAGCAGAGCTGGTTAAAGGGCTCAGGAGTAAATACCCGGGATGGTGCACCAAGACACACAAAGGGTTTCAGAGCAGCAGGAGCAGAACCCTGCAGGCTGGCATGTGCTTGAAGGTGCTGGGAGACCCCCTGAGTGCCATGACCTGGGGATGGTACCCCTTGGCCGAGGCTCACATTCAGCAGCTGGGTTCTGCTGAGCTCAGACCCTGACCAGGGCAGGCCGCTCAGATGTGGCTCACGACATGGCTGGGCAGGATGGGGGGAGATGGGGGAGTCTGGCCAGGAGGGCTTGTCCCACAAAGCCCGAACACGAGCTCCTGTCTCATCCGCTGCCTCTGCTCACAAAGCTGTCTCCTGCATCGGTGCCACCGGCAGACCGTGTTTACGCCGTCCGTCTTGCCCGTGCAGAGGTTTCCATGGCGCTGCCATAACAGCCCTGGCAAACACGGGGCTGATCAAAGCCAGTGGGCTCGGCTGCGGGAGGAAGGACGGATGGCGGGGTGGCAGCTCACTCACCCGGCACAGGGGGCTGCGGGCAGCTCTCACTGGAGGGAAAAATGTAGTGGTGTACATTTTGGGGATTTAATATCTATTGGGGCTTCTCCAAGAAAGGCAGGACGGAGGACCAGGGTCTTTGGGCCGCAGTCTTTGGCTAGAAGGTCACAGCAGAGCTTTCCAAACCGCTCATCCTCAGAGACATTGTGCAGAGGCAGTGGCCAGAGGGGGACCAAGATCAGTCCCCAGGGACTGCCACGCAAACTGCAAAGGGGATCTTCACCGCTTCTGCGGCTCCACCTCTCCATGGGCCAACCTGCACAGCCGCTCTTCAGTGCCCGGCCAGGGACGGGGAGCCAGGCGCAGGGTGTAACATTGCCCTGCCAGAGCAGCGCTACCTTCAAACACGCTGCTCAGCATCTGTATCACCTGCTGGGACCTCCCTCGGGAGCTGCAGGGAGCTGAAGAGCATTTTGCAAACCTCTGTATGAGAGGAGGGAGCAGCCATGAGACCAGAGAACCCAGCACCTCTGCTCTGCCGCTACCAGCCACGTACCCCGCTCCTGCACCGGGCAGTGCCGCGCACCAGGGCAATGCCGCTGCCGTGGCCCTCGGGGCAGAGCGGTGCTCTGCTGCATGGCACGGGAAAGGGACGTCTGAGGAAGGAGAGTGGAGAGCAGCTCTGGCTGGAGATGATCCCGTCGCAGCCCCATATCAGCTACTGGCTGGATAAGCCCTGGATTTCCTTGCTTAGTCTGAGCTGGCAGCATCGGCACGATGCATTCCCAGTGCTGTGGGTGCCCACCACTGCTGATCCCCTGGGAGGATGGCTTGGGTCCCCGTCCTGCCTCTGCTCTCCTGCCACCACCCCGTGGCTGCTGGTGGCTTTGTGCTCGTGGATAACATCTGCATGGTAGGCAACGCTCCCCAACTTACCTCCTGAGGCTCCAGGGGCCATATATATCTCTTTGGGAGATACATGACCGTCACGTGCAGGAAAACTCGACCCTGGGAGAGGCCTGTACATCGTTGAGGCAAATCCTCTGGCTTTGTCAGCTCTGGGAGGGCACCTGGGCGAGCGCTCAGCCCCGGGGCCAGGAGGGAATGGGGCAGGAGCTGGCTCCAGGCAGGAGGGGAGCAGATGGAGCCAAATACATGCGGAGAGTTGACTCACAAGCTTTATGGTCTTCCTTAAGGATATTTTTAGGGGACTGAGATGCCAGTGGGAGGGTCTGGACTGGCTGCAAGCTCTGGTACTCACACACCATGGGAAGCTTTTTCCTTGCTGTGTCCTGCCACTGCCTCCCACCCCAAGAAGGTCCCTGTTTGATTTGGGCAGACCCACAGGCTGGTGACAGGCTGCTGGGACAAGCCCACCAGCTCCCCAACACAGGGTTAGCCATCCTCCAGCCATGAACTGCTGGAAAAGGCCCTGGGGACCCTGCTCAAGCCCCTACAAAACGCACAAAATTCATGAGGCCAACTGCGCTGTTGATGCTATGTACAAACATGGGCTGAAACCTTTAAATGTGAGACAGCAGCCCCTTATCTGGCCTAAAGCAGTGGGACATGGGGATCTCAGCCAAATGCTGGCTGTCCCCCCTCCTCCCTCCATGTACCCACAATGGGATGGGGTCTGCACCAGCAAGCAGGGGCCACGGCTGGGCCCCCGAGGTACTCACAGCACCGTGAAGTCGCAGCACTCCTGGAAGACAGCCCTGCGCACCACCCGGATCCTGTTCCCTTCCAGCTCCCTGCAGAAAGGCAATCATGACTGCTGCTTCCCTGGGCTCACCCCCCACATCCCCGCCATGCTCACTCAGTGTGATCCATCACCTCCCGCTTGCCCCCATCCCCATCTGCTGCAGGATGCTCCCAGCCCTTTCCACCCCTCCTCTGCTCCAGGAACCTGGCCGGGGAGCGTAGGCAGCGCCTGCAGCAGCCCCTGCCCACCCCGCAGGGTACCCACAGCCAGCTGAGCTTCGGCATCTCCGCGCAGAGGGAGGCATTGGGTATCTGAGCCAAAGAGTTGTTCAGCATGTACCTGGTCGGGAGGCAACAAGGACAAACAAGGTCATGGCACCGTATGTCTGCCCAGGATACAACCCTGTGCGTGGATGCGGTCCTGGACCCTGCAGGGTTTCACAAGGGCTTTCTGCTGGTCAGTGGCCTTGCCGGGGGAGACACCCACACCGTACGGGCTGCTCGTGCAGGGACCCCGGGTGAGCTCAGGGCCGGTGGTGCAGCCAGCCCAGGGCACCCCAGCAGAGCAACCACGGCCCCGTGAAACCAGAGAGCAAGTTCAGCTACCGCCGCCCCAGGCAAAGGCCCCGTACACAAGGCTGTTAACAGCACGGAGCTTCATTCACCTTCTTCGGGAAAGAAGTAAAGGTAACGACACGAGGCACATTTAGTGGCCATGGGAGATGCTCTCCAGTGAGCTGTGACGGGCACATCACCAGGAAAATGGTGCATGAAAGCAGCAGCAAGTGACCCTGGAGTGACAGCCAGTAAAGGCAGATTTATAGCCTGAATTCCCGCTGGCGTTTTTCCCAGCGCTTGTGCACATGCCTGTGTGTACAGGGTTCCCCACTGCACTTTCTGTGACCATGGTTGCAGTTTATATGATTTGTTAAAAAAAAAAAAATAAAATGCAGAAGCATAAACAGAGTACATCACCAAGCAGAGCAGTGCTGCTGCCAGCAACGTGGAAACGCGTGGCTGCGGGGAGCCCTGTCCCACCACAGCCTGCACAGCTCCTCCCCTGGGGACAAGTCTGTGGACACCCAGTGCCACCCAGGTTTTGTAGAGGAGCAAAATCCTGGGGTCACAGCCCCTCTTCCCCCAGCCCACTGCCAGCCCTGGTTGCCCTCTGTCCCGATGGCTGCTCCATCCCCGGGCACAGCCACAGCAGTTACCCGATTCCTGCATCACCCCCAGTACCAACTTTCAGGCTTTTACAGCCAACCCCAGCAGTTACATCTCCAGCAGAGCTGGTGCAATCCTGGACCAGCAGCCGCAGCTGAAGCACTGTCCTCGCAGGTGTACGTCCAGGGAATACAGCTTAAAATGTGGTCAGATGGATGCGAGTATATACCTGTGTCTGTGCATTCACACACACACGTGTTTTTTCCACTGTAACAGCCAAAACTTCTCCCCTAATGCTGACTCCAGGCTGCCGCCAAGGTTTCTGATCTGCATTCTGGACTATGGAGAGGGTGTTAAAGTCATCTTCCAGCGATTGCAAAATTGTTTTTAGGGTGGTTAAAGCAAATTCATTATCCCGTACTTCCATCTTGGGAATGGCTGTACCTTAAAAACCCCTTGGTTCGAGGTGACCTGTGTGAAGACGCCCAGCAGTGGGGCATTAGTTTGGGAAAGCATCGGCTCCTGTTTGCAGTCACTGACTCAGGGAAAGGGGTCGGCAACCCAAACCGCAGGCACCGCTACCTGTCCGGCTTGTCATGAAGTGCTGAGGCTCTGCTCAGGCCAGACTCCCCAGGGACCTGCCTGTCCCTGTCCCAAGCAAAAGCAATTAACACTAGCTTTAATTAGAGCATGCTGAGGGCAGGAGATGGCACAGAGAAGCAGCAGCACCAAAGCCTGCTGGTTCTCCCTGCCAGGCCAGGCATCCCCTGCCAGCTCCTGGAAACGGGAGCCCTGGGGAGGGCAAGGAAGCCACAGCATCCTTGACTTGCCCCCAAAAAGGCTAGAAGCTGCCTGGAGAAGGGGTGCAGGCAGAGACCCACAGAGCAGGGTCTCCCCAAACCCCGTGGGAGGGCAGCCCCCACCCCTACTTACAGGAAATACAGCGAGTTCAGCCCTGCAAACGTGGCAGGGACGATCTGGGCAATCCTGTTGTTGTCCAGCATCCTGGAAGGAAAAGGGGAGAAGTGAGAGGAGGGGACCCGGGAAGGGTGAGGAGGCAGCGGGACTCTCCCCGCAGGGGAAGCCCCCACATTTGGCACTCGTGCTGCCCCGGTCAGGGAGGGGCTCTATCCCTTCTCCCCTGCAAGCTTCCCTGGATACCATCCCCGGGCAGGGGGGCTGCCCCCT